CCCGGACTCAGTGCGGTGCAAGGACCTCCTCCACCAAAAATAAAACCCTAACAGTCGGTCCGAAAAGAGCCGGATCCGCGACAAGAGAGCAACAAGTCTTCCAAGCGCCCATACCCAAGTATGTGCTCGGGATAATAAGTCTATGACTTGCCTCGATGGCTTATGCAACGACCGGTCCTTAACCGACCAGACAGGGAAAAATGGTGTAACCAAGCTGTGACCCGCATCCGCGGCGACACAACTTCTTACACCCACCAATACCCAAACCATATCCCTGCCCGGTCACCTTTTTCCTTTCCACCATTTTATATATTCTAAGTGATAATCATATAGTAACATATTTCCTATATCTCGCGAGTGACAGACAATCACTCGACTTCTACCGGAGTCCTGTAGCATAGCATTCTACATAATCCTATCATACTAGTAAGACTCATAGGACAAAGATATATATATATGCAAGTGGGTTTCATTCAACTCCTTAAAACTTAATGCACAAATATAATTTAAACTGCAGAAAGTAGGGGTTATGCACCGGGGCTTGCCTGGGTAAGATGTATATTAAAAAGTTAGTATCTGCATCTTCAGATCATCCACCAGCAACTGAATAGCAAGTCCATTGCATCATCTCCTAGAGAGAATACCATTACACCATCTCTAGATTCCCAATCATCCTTCGATCGATCTGTTGATCCATCATCGTACCTATATGATATGCATGCGATGCAATGCAAAGATGTAATTAATCAACTGCAATCGTGACTCATAAAATACGACGTACACCTCTCGAGTTAACGGGCTAGTTCTAACGACGACCGTACTTAGGCTACATATACACGTTGTCGGATAAGGCGTCATTTCTCAACAATTATTTTAGTTACACAAACCTAAGTTGTTTCTTTATTCAATTCTATCAATTTAATATTTATTCGTAATAGGACATCATTAACTACTCTAGTAAACTAATTACTCCGGAGCTACAAAAATTATAGTGAGTACCTAATATTGCTAGGAATCTACTGTAGAAATTTCAGATCCAACACTATTACCAATTTATCACGAAAATTCCTACAAGTTTATATTTTACAATATTAAGCATCTTAGATTAATTATATAACTCCCAAAAATATTACCAAACTACGTGAACAAAACATACTAACATGTAGAGCATGATTTTTGGGGACTAACAAAACTGGTTTCGCTATTTTTGGACTCCTATGCTATTTTATATTGCTTTTACAACTTTACCTTTTTAAACTAACTTAGAAATTGCTCTACAAGTCAAAACGGGCTGGCGCCAATCACTTGGCCCAATGGCGCGCGCATGCAGCCGCAGCCCAGGCGGACGGGCGTATGACGGCCCAAGCGGAGACGCAACCGACCCAACGCGGCGGAACGGCGCGGACGGGCCACATGGATGCGCGGCCCAGACGCGAGGCGGGGCGTGCGTAGCCCAGCAAGACGGCCCACGTGAGGGAGCAGGCCGGCCCAGGAGGGAAGACCCAAAGCGCGAGCGCGATTTTAGCAAAAGAGACCTCGTCGTCTTTCTATTTCGCATTACGACTGCTGACGCTATTTACTTCAGTCACAGGTTTTGCATTAAGGACCCTGAAGTTACTCGTCTTCGCATTTACTTCATCCCTGACTGCTCTTGGAATAGAGCACCGCACAGAGCTGGCCGACCGGCGGCCAAACCCGGCCGGGAGAGGCTCCACGGCGATGCGGCACCATCCGCGAGCGATGCAGAGCTAGCGCGGGGTCCTCATGGCCACGCAAGACCGCAACGGCCCATGGTTAGGGCAGCGGCGTGCAGGTGCGTGCCTGCCCACGTGCAGACGTGAATGGCGACCAAGGCGCGCGTGTTCCTGCGATATTGCTACAAAACCGGGAGAGCGGAGGGGTAGAGAAGGTACCAGGCCTCACCTAGGTCCTGCTGCGATAGTTGGTTGGTGCGGTGAAGCCGCAGAGGGGCTGGCCACATGCGCGGTGAAGGGCGGCGGCGCACCGAACTGGCATTTGTGCGCCACTCCAACTCCGGTGACTCCTCCCGCCAAACTGTGATGAGCATCGACACCGGTAGGTCAAGGGCAGTCCAAGAGAGCGAGCAATCGAACTAATACCGATCGTGGAGACTTACCCCAAACATGCTCTGTAATGGCGGTGAGCTGACCGGCGGCGACGAAAATGCCAAATTGGCCGGCAAATGTGCACCTCTGGTTCTCTATGCGGGTTGGGCGTTTAGCTAACTTCATGACCTAGCTACTGACGTGAAGAATCAACTCGAGTCGGACCACACGTTGCGAATTTGAACGGCACCTATCGACAGCAGCACGAGGACGTGGCAGGGCACAATGGGCAGCAGTGCACGACACAGGACGTGCTTTGACCTGCTGTGGCGTGCGAGTGACAAGGCGACTGCGCGGACAACGGAGATGGCGGCTACACGACGGGACCACCTGGCCGTGTCCGGGAGCGGGCGGCTAAAGCAAAACGACGAACACGCGGGCAGGGCAATGACCAACCGACATGGCGGTAGCTCGACGAGACGGCCACAGCGCAGGCGCAGCGACACAGCGTGCAGCAACCGCACGATGTCGTGACGTTCGTAAATGCGACAAGTTTACGTGGGGCTGGCCGAGCACGTCGCGACGGGACGCGACAAGGCGCGGGCACCGTGGCCCAGCGTGACCGCCTATGCGCGCCCAGCCACGCAGCAGCGAAGTAACAACGGCGCGCGGAAAGGCAGGCAGCGCCGGTCAATCGGGACGCAGACCTATGTCGGGGCGTGAGAGCAGTGCTCGGCCGGCAACCGCTTGTGCATAGCAGGGAGCGGCTGCGGCCACGTCGGGCCCCGCGTGCAGTAGACGTCCACAGGCTGGCCAGCGGGGCAATGCACGGCAGACGGGCAACCAAGTGAGCGGGGACAGCAACGCGGCGACGGTGGCTCGGCTCAGCCAGGTGCTCAGCCGGCGGGCCAAGCCACGGCGCGGCCAGACACGGCCAAAGCGTGCTGAGACGCGTGGTGACCGCGGCCCAAAGGCCGAACAGGCGAAACTAGTGCCGTGCATGCTTTTTAAAGTGATGAGGTTAAGGTTCGGCCAACCTCACTAACCCAAAGTCCATGCCACCAGCTAGCTAGGGAAGCACTCGGCGCGACCAAAGAGCGACTAGGGAAGAAGATACGAGAAGGCCAAGATGGGTTCATTGCACAGCGCGCCGGTTCACGAACAGAGCGCCGAACGTAGTTCTTCGTGCGTTCTAAAGAGTTCTGAAAAGTTCTTGGGATAACCCCGCTACATCAGACCATTCTACGAACCACTCCACGCCAAAGTACTCACCATGATGCAACTAGCGATGCCAGGATATAAAGTTAGCGTCCAAGAAAATTAGCTAGAATTTAAATACTAATACGTCATTGTCTATCGTTTCCGATTTAGAAAGTTATAACTTTTAGTTTTGCCTCCATCCAACAACTACTCAACCAGCTAGTGCAATATAACTCGCCACGAGTGATACTCTTAAACCTAAGTTAAAAATTTTAAAATCCGAGAAACTCGTTTCGGTAAATCCTGTTAAGTCTAAATCGCGGTGCTAACGAGCTCGTAACACCAGTGGTGTTACAGTAGTGGTGGTCCAGGATGGACTTTAGAAGTTTTTAGGAGGGGGTGGAGCTCCTAAAATTTTTGGCCCCTCCTAAAGTTTTTAGGAGCTTTTAGGATGAGGTGTTTGGTTCTTTAGGCAAATTCTATCCAGATTTTAGCTCCTAAAACTTTTAGGAGGGGTAACCAAACAGGCCCTTCCTCTACTCTCCCTCCGCCACCACCATTGCACTCATCCTCCTCAGCATCGTGCACATATGTGCTCATCAGGCCAAAGAGATCCATCTCTTTCACATCGGCCTGCAGTGCCTTGTGCGCCGGCGGTGGCCGGGAGGGGCGCAAGCGCTAGCGCCAATCAGCTTAAAACGAAGGAACAGCGGAGACACTCCTGCTCTGCGACTTGCCCGGTGCTGGGCATTGGAGCCCCCCGGCCTCCACGGACCTGGCGGCCGCCGCGGGCGTGAGGAGCGGGGCGGGGATGAGGGCGGGAGCGAGACCGGTGGATGAAATTGCGAGCGGAGATTAGGGACTTTCCTTTTTTTTACAGAGAAGAAGAGGTGCCGGGCGGAGTCATCGCTCTTTTTGTTTTATTTGAAAAGCACCTTTTTTTACTGTTCTAGCAAAAAATGGCCAGCAGTATTGTAAACTCCGCAGAGAGATCGTTGCAACAAATAAAATTTCTTTTGCATCGGTGCACGGCCGTGAGAAAGCGGTTCCTTTCGGTGGCGTCTGTTTCCAGCATAGCTCAATAGTCTCACAGCTGATCTTCGCTTTTACCCATTTTGTATACTAAATAATGTTGCAGAGCTCAATAGTCGCGTCTTGAATATTGGCATCTCGTGTACGTGCTTCATTTTCTTTCACATTTGCAAACAATTATATAAACAACTAGCAAAGCGGTTTACTGCTTGCGTTCAAATTCTGCTGCTCGATTTCTCTTCTTGCTTTGTCATTTTCACTAGGTTAAAGAAATAGGGCTTGTTACGAGGATCTTTCTAAAATATTATTTTTGATGTGTCCTGTGTATCGTATAGCTAGCTTTGGCAACCATTATCCAAGCAGCATTGGAAATATCGCTAGCCATCGTCTCCAGCGTCCAAGCAGCATCGGGGTTACAGCCAGCCATCGTCTCTTGCACTCCAGCCTGTAGGAATCATTAACCAAAAGTATATATATCTCAGTATGTATGATATATGTTAACCAAATGCTACTGTGCCACCAATTGCCAAGCCCCACTACCATTGATCACTATGGCCACCACACCGGAGGAATTCTTCGTCAAGGATCTCATGGAACAGCCACCAGCATCCCCACCTGTCTTCCCTGACCTTCCCCAGTTTGCCCTTATCCAACGGTAAATATATGGTGGGGGCATCCTTGGAGTGCATGGAAGAAGCCAACATGTCCTTGCCCAAAGACAACAACTTTACAAAGTATGAGCAGGTGAATCAAATCAGGGAAAGCAATGTTATTGGTAGTAGGATCAAGAAAAGGTATAACAGGGATCACCTTCTAGAGGAGGAGGTAAGAAGTACCAGCAAAGCTATGATGATGATCAAGGAGCCAGACGAGAAATGTGGTAACGAGATGCTTGACGAAATGATGTTGCATGCGTATGAGACATGCATCATCAAGGGCATGGAACGTGTCACCATGGACAATAGTGGCGCAGATAAAAGAAACAAGAAGAGTGGGAGGATCAAATCGGCGAGGAGCAATATGGTCGACATTGGCATGTTGTTGATCTCTTGTGCGCAGGCGGTGGGAGAGGGCGATCACATGAGAGCGCATGAGCTCCTGAAGCAAATCAAGCAACATGCTTCGGCAACAGGGGACTCCACCCAACGGCTAGCCCATTGTTTCACCAAGGGGCTAGAGGCACGCATAGGGGGCAAAGGGAGCCAGATTTGGCAGTTGCTTATGTTAGAGCACCCCTCAGTTGTGGAGTTCCTCAAGGCCTACAACCTTTACACTAAAGCTTGTTGCTTCCTCAATGTGACATTCATTTTTTCAACAATTCACTACCGCAAAAACGTCCTTTGCCCAGAGCCGCGATTTTTGCCGAGAGCAAAAACGCGGGATCTCGGCAAAGAAACCGTTTGCCGAGCGCCGCTCTCGGCAAACACGGGCCGTCGGGAACTCACAAGATTGCCGTGGGCCTGCATCTCGGCAAACAACAACTCTCGGCGAAGTGGGCCATTTTGCCGAGAGCCCCGCTCGGCAAAAAATGACCTTCGGCAAAATGGGCATTTGCCGTGGGCCGCACTCTCGGCAAAATAAGGCTCTCGGCAAAACATTGCCGTGGTCCCATCGCCGTGACTTGCCCTGACGGCGTCACCACTTTGCCGAGAGCCCCACCGTTATGGCTCTCGGCAAAACTGTTTGCCGAGCGCTGATCTCGGCAAATATTTGCCGAGAGCCCCTCCCAGACTCTCGGCAAACGTGGTTTCTATATTTCATGTGCATGTGTTTCTCTTCTCCTAACTCTCTCCAATTAAATTGTTTTTTCTTTCATATGCTCCAAACTTTTTTTCTCTATACACATACTACAGGTTGTACTCAATATTAAAATTTTGTGTATTTTTGTAATTATTTGCTATATATAATTAATTAATTGCATTTCAAGGAGTTTTTTAATCGATTAAAATTTGAACAGCGATTGATTTAAACACGGAACAAATTAAGTAGAAAATGATATTCATGCTATTTATGCATTATTGGGGCAAATAACATCTTGTTGACGTTTTTTCACCTTTTATTTTACTTAATCAAGACCACGAACATATGTCGCCGAACGATTTAAAAATTCTTAATAAAAGGAAACGAATTCAGAAAATTGTGATATTTGCAATGAAGTCATGGTATCACACTTGGAGGCTGTGGTAAAAAATTGAAAATGTTTCGCGCAAGTGGTTGCGTATGATTCTTACAATCTAAGACATCTCCGAATAAGTTTCATAAAGTTGAGAAGGATCCATTAGGATTTTCAAACAATGTCACGGTCGAATTAGTTTTGGAGTTCCAAACTTTTGTATAGCCATTAGAGAGCATAAGTTGCAACACAGCAAAAATTTGTATTTTTCCGGAGCCGTTTGCTATTTATTAATTTTTTTTGGATATTCTTTGCCGAGAGCTTCAGGGGATTGCTCTCGGCAAAGCTTCTTTGCCGAGAGCAACTGGGCCCGCTCTCGGCGCAGATTTCTTTTTTTTTTACCTAGACTGGATCAATGGTTTGCCGAGAGCTGGCTCTCGGCGAATAGGTTTGCCGAGAGCTACTCTCGGCAAATAATGATTTTATTTTTTTTATATTTTTTGTGCAGTTAGCTAGTTAAAAATTCGAACGAAATTTGAAAAAAAATAAGCTGTGCCGAGAGCCAGATCCGGGGCTCTCGGCAAAGGGGAGGTTTGCCGAGAGCCTCCCAGATCTGGCTCTCGCAAAGTGGCTTCACCACTTAAACGTTTGGCGCAGCCCGCAAGCCGCTGAACTGCTTCGGCCGCAGCCCCGCCGCCGCCGCAGCCCGCCACGCCCAGCCGCGCGCGCTGCCGCCGCCGCTCCGCCCGAGCCTCGCCGCCGCCGCAGCCCACGTCAACATACACACCATCGGTCAGGAGTTTTCTCACTGCCATCGATCGGTCTTTTCTCCTTCCCAGCAGGAACTCGTGCCTGTTCTCCTTCCCGACGGCACAGAATCTCCCGCCTAGAAAATCCTCACGTTCTCATCTCTGCCACCACCCTCCATTCAGGCAAGTGGCCAGGCAAGCGTCCGTTCTAATTTTAAGCGCCTCCTACTTTCTCCTATGATCCTATCAGGTTTCATGATTTCGCGATTGCGCTGTAGCTCCAAAGGTGCTCGACGATTTGCCAACAAGGGAATCTCTGCAGAGTTTGTGCTTCATTAAGCTCTTCCGGCTCACACAGGTACACAAATTCTCATCTCATTTACGTTGGATGAGTGTATGCATCTTTTCTTTTGTTACTCTTGCTGCTCGATTCACCATCCCATGCCTGAATTTTTATACATTGGATGAGCAACAGCAAATTTCTTCAAATATATTAGCTACACTTGGCCACCTCCCACGTCCCACCAGACAAAAAAAAACAGCAGCCATGGACACTGGACGCCGTGGGGTCATGTTTGTGTTATTCTACTGAACTAAGCAGCACGCTCGCATAATCTATTTCTTCTCAGAACTAATCATTTCAGATTTTTTTGTGTCAACATAATCAGCAGTATTAAGCTTTATGCTATGTATATAAAATGCAATTAAATTTAAATAACTATCAGTACAGCAGTCTATATCAGCACAGCTGTCTAATTGCGTTTATATTTTGGGCATCAGCAAATCCAGGGCACCTCAGTCTATATCAGCAAATCCAGTTCTGCGATGCGCATGAGGTGACCATGGTTGATTTGATTTGATCATTGTGCAGTCCAGATAAAAATACTGCCCCTGGTACTACCAATTGGGCACTTAGTGATTCATTGTATTTACCTAGATAGGTAGCTTGATTGGTTTTGAACTGCTCACAGCCTGTGCAGCCAGTTCAGATAGAAGAATTTCTCCGGGGTTTCCCCCTTCGCTTCTTCCTTATGCCATTCCAAATCGCTCCAGTTAAGTTTCGGAAAAAAAAAATCGCTCCAATTAAAACCAAAGGGAAGCGGCATCTAACCACAAGGATCAGCGTTCTTCCCCATTCGTACAATAGTATATGATGAGTCAATGTTACAATACCAAGCAAACAAAAATCGAACAACCTTTTTTTTTCTGTACAGACTAAAGAACTACACCGGACATGTCTGCAAATCACCCCATTACATCATACCGACTAAGGGGATAAAAAAAAAATCTATGGACAGCTCTACTTACAAACAACCCATTTACAGCAGGTCAGCACGTTGTCACACAAATCGTGCTTCCTACATGGACAAAACAAGAAAACTCGCCCATATTCCTGAATGACGCTGACATTCAGAATGTAGCCGATTGTCATCAAAATGCACACTGGGTGTGGGTGACATTCAGAATGTAGCCGATTCTCATCAAAATGCACACTCTAAGAGTCTAAGGTCTGAATCTCAGCGACAGAATAGTTCTTCCTTTCATCAGCATGTGGTTGTAGTAGTTGTAGTAGTTAGAGTAGTAGTAGTTGATAATTAAGCTGCATGTGGTTCCTTGATATATATGTGGTTGTCGGCCATCGTGCCGTGGTTTTCTTTCATGTTTGGAAACCTCACCGTTCGGGGAGATGCTGCCAATTTTTGAGTTGACGTTATTTTGCTTCTTTCTTTCTTTTTTTGCAGGAGCCGAGTCGGAGTACCCCGGTGTCCCCAGTGTCTGCCCGCCAGCACGTCCTGCCGCCGCGCCATCGCACCGACCCACCACGGCCCCGCTTAGCCTGACTTCACCGCCACCTAAGGTATAACCACTCTTTCTTTGTCCTGGTCATGTATCTCAACGTAACCCGCTTAGGTGTCTCCCGTTCAACTCCGATACGGTTAGAAATATGCGAGATCTTTGCATATCAATAATCGATATCTGTTTGAATTGTCCACGTTTTTGACAGCCGAGATGCGCGCAGATGGTGTTAGTTTCCATGGTTCGCTCCGATCCGAGATGTAGTTTCGACAAGACCTTCCTGTTGTTCTCCGGATACACAATCTCCTGTCCGGGACGTGTATTTGGAGAACAATGGGAGGTGCTTTACCAAATTTCGCTTTGGATAGGACCGAACCATGGGAACTAACACCATCTACGCATCCTCGGGTGGATTAGGACCTATCCTTACCTATTAGATGGTAGGAACGACGTGTAGATGCAAGTCCATGGTTATATTTATTACTTGGTGATATATATGTTAGAGGATGGATGACCGTGAGTGGATGTACTCGGGCACGGGCGCCCGTGAGATTACCAGAGAATGGGTCGACAAGACCGAGGCTTTCATCAAGCAAGTATTTGACCAGTTCTCCGGAGCGCGTGCGTTTTTGTTGTCCCTGCATCAAGCTGTAAGAACGAAAGAGGCGGACAAAGGAGGTGATGACTTCACATCCGCTAGGCATGGATTTCTGAAAAATTATACCCAGTGGACCCACCACGGTGAAGCCGATCGTGTGAGAGAGGAGGTGGTGAGACCACGTGTCGAGGATTACAATGCTGATGCCGGGGTAGCAGCTTGGTTAGATGACTTTCACGAAGCACACTTTGTGGACATATAGCGGGGAGGAGGAGGAGGAGGAGCCAGAAGCGCAAAAAGGCGTACACATGTTGTCTGCGCAGCAGGAAACCCCTTCATGGCCACACACACGATTTCAAAGCTTGATGGCATTTCACGCTTAATGGCCTTAAAGTCCCAGTTCAACCTCAGTCGAGAGAACTTTGATGAAATGTTGACAGTTATTGGCTCCATCCTTCCGACCGGTCACCTTCTGCCATAGAACATGTACGAATCGCAGAAGGTCCTTCGTGCACTTAAGATGCCGTATGAGCAGATACATGCTTGTCCGAAGGGCTGCGTCCTCTTTAGAAAAGCACACGTGGATGCAAAGTACTGTCCAAAGTGTAAATCCTCTAGGTATCTGGAGGTAGACTCGTGATGGTGAGAAGAGGCGAGTCCGTACCCGTGAAAATCCTACAAGACCTTCCATTCATACCGAGGATCCAACGGTTATTCATGACAGAGTCCCGCTAAAATGATGATATGGCACAAAAATGGAAAAATATACGATCCTGAGAAGATGGTACATCCAAATTGATGGTGAAGCATGGCATCACTTTGATAACATTCATCGTAACAAAAGTGGGGAGGCACGTAATGTGCGTGTTGCCTTTGGCAACAGATGGGTTCAATCCTTATGGAATGATGGCTGTCCCATACACTTGTTGGCCCGTGTTTGTTATCCCTCTCAATCTCCCCCCTGGCGTCTCCTTCCAACGACAGAATGTGTTCTTGTCGTTGATAATTCCAGAACACCCTGGGAATAACATGGGTGTGTTCATGGAGCCTTTGTTCGATGAACTGGTCCATGCTTGGGACCATGGTGTATGGACATACGATCGAGCTACAAAGACAAACTTCAACATGCATGTTTGGTATCAATACTCCATGCATGACTTCCTAGCATATGGGATATTCAGCGCTTGGTGTGTTCACGGGAAGTTTCCATGCCCCTTGTGCAAGGCAGCTCTGCAGTTCAATTGGCTGCAGAAGGGCGGCAAATATTCCGTGTTCGACAAACATCGACAATTCCTCCCTGCTGAGCATCCATTCAGACGAGACATCAAGAACTTTACTAAAGGTGTCATGGTTACGGACCCCACACCACGAGATGATGACCGGTGCGAGGTTCATGATCGATAGATGCTCTTCGGATCAATGAAAAGATGGTAGGTTCGTGGGATATGGTGAGGAGCATATGTGGACTCATATGTCGCCCTTGTTGATGCTCCCCTATTATAACGACCTTCTTCTTCCACACAACATTGATGTAATGCACACCGAGAAGAATGTTGCCGAGGCGCTTTGGGCAACGATCATGGACATTAAGGATAAGACGAAGGACAATGTAAAGGCGAGACTGGACCTGGCAACGATATGTGATAGACCAAAGCAACACATGCAACCTCCTAGAAGCGGCAAGAAATGGACAAGGCCTAAGGCCGATTACAGATTGAAACCGGAACAAAAGAGAGAAGTATTAGAATGGTTCAAAACATTAATGTTCCCGATGGGTATATGCAAATAATCTGAGGAGGGGGTGAACTTATCTACCTTGCATGAATCAACGGCCTGAAGAGTCATGACTATCACATATGGATTGAGTGTCTTCTTCCGGCGATGCTCCGAGGCTATGTCCCTGAGCATGTGTGGAAGACGCTAGCCGAGTTGAGCTATTTCTTCCGCCAGCTTTGTGCCAAGGAGTTATCTCGTAGCGTGGTTGCAGAATTGGAAAAAATAGCACCTGTGTTGCTCTGTAAGTTGGAGATGATCTTTCCACCCGGCTTCTTCAACCCGATGCAGCATTTGATTCTGCACCTCCCGTATGAGGCACGAATGGGGGGGCCCATGCAGGCCCGTTGGTGCTATCCAATCGAGAGATGTCTAAAGGTTCTTTGGAAGAAATGCAGAAACAAATGCAAAATCGAGGCTTCCATGGCGGAGGCATTCGTTCTAGAGGAGGTTACTAACTTCACACAAGCATACTATGGTGACAAGCTTCCTAGCGTGCATAATCGACCCCCTCGTTACAATGCTGGTGAAAATGAATCAAAACTCAGCCTTTTCCAAGGGCAACTTGGAAGTGCGAGTGATGCGACCTCATTGTTGTTGAAA